AGAGAGAGAGAGAGAGAGAGAGAGAGAGAGAGAGAGAGATCTGTAGATGGATACTTGCGTAAACCCCGACTATCTCACTGGCATTGCACAGTGTGCGGGCATGGCCGCACTGGCTTTACTTGTACTCGTGTTGATGTCCTGTATTTGCTGGAATTGGATCCGTCTTTCTTCTTTTTCCTATGCAGCCTTCTTCATTTAGTCATTGCCGCCATCTTTATTGTAGTCATCATGGTGAAGAAGATGGGATCCAATCGCGTGAAGGGGGTTGTCAAAGCAAATGGTATCCCGGCGGAAAAAGCCACGACCATGGAGATGGGTCTAAAGCAGGTATGTTGCGAGGAGAGCCTTGGAGCACTTTCTTTGTTCTTTTGCCCAATTTTGAAAAAAAATTGGTTCTTTTTCTTTCCCCCCCAAAGAAAACGCACCTACACCTGGAATAATTCTTGGAAACCACGAGCACGGGAACACACCAAGAAGTGGTCAGCAGAATGATTTCAGATTTAAGACCAGTGCAGATTTAAAACAGACAAACGATGGAATGGGTAAGGATAGGGCTGGCCAATCTAATGTGCCGTGAAGATTAGCCCATTCTGCTCATAGATAGATAGATAGATAGATAGATAGATAGATAGATAGATAGATAGATCCATAGCTAAATGGAAAGATAAGATAAGATGCGATAAGATGTGATAAGATACGATATGATAAGATAAGATAAGATAAGATAAGATAAGATAAGATTGGATAAGATGAGATGAAACGAGGTAGGATAAGATAGGATATGTTAACATCCAGTACACTGTATTCAGCACTAGGCAAGGCACTCAAACACGGTATACACCTGGCAGCACATAGCAAGCCCAGCGGGCAGGGAGCGCGTGGGCGGGCGGGCGGGGAGACATACGCCCTTACATCAAGGCATACAGCAACAAAGGAACCCATGGATGCAGCGAGCGTCAATCTGGACTATCACCTACTCACATGATATGGAAAACCCTGTATGGCCTGTAGTGTTGCAGACAGCTGGGGTGGTTGGGCAGACTGTAGGTTCAGTCCACCATCAAGAACAAGGAAACAACAAGACGGATGTCCGTCACCACCGGAAAACATGGAGACACAGGCATCCCAAGCACAGCAGCACCCCCCAATGGTGTTGCAGGCATTCCATGGGAACTGGGACTGACTATTTAGCACCGCTTAAAGGTAAGCATAGTGCATTGTCCGACGTAGGTCCTGACCCTCAGGGCTCTGGGTGACAGGTTTTGTGGTTAAGCCCGACGTAGGGCCTGACCCTCAGGGCTCTGGGTGACAGGTTTTGTGGTTAAGCCCGACGTAGGGCCTGACCCTCAGGGCTCTGGGGGACAGGTTTTGTGGAAGTCGTGGAGGTTTTGTTGTGCCCTTCTGTTCTGGAGGCAGCAGCCCGGTTGTTTCTTTTTTTTTTTCCTTTTTTTTTTTTCCCGGTTGCTTCCACCAACTGGCAAGAGAAAGGAACTATGTACAAAAGCAACTCGAAGTCTGACACGCTTCTCCATTATGGCTGAGAAGGCCTAGGTCCGATCTCTGGTTTTAATTTGTCCAGATAGCAAAACCACCAGTACTTAGGGGCTTCCTTTTGCTGAAGTGGATTCCCCACTGCGTGCCAATAAAAACGAACCGCCACATTTTCTTGTTTGGCTGGCGCCTCCAGCTATTTAGCCCCCGCTGGGGGATGTGCCCCGAAAGTAGTTGTGGCGTCGGCACGGCCGCATCAGAGAAAAATGCCTGGGAAAAGTACTGGTGGTGTAATTGCCCTCTTGATGAGAGGGTTAAGTATTGGGGAGGTATATCTTATGGAAATCGACTACGGATGGAAGTTTCGTTTATTGAAATTTAATATTCAAAATTTATTGATTTAGTATTATTTTTTTTTTCCCTTTTTCTGAAGGAGCAGAACCACATTTCGTTTGCAGCCACATAAAATCGTGTCCACCCCTGAAAGGCGTCTTTGAGGCTCACTTTTTTGCCAGGCACATGTCCAGCCCGCCAGTTTATCATTTGTTATGCACCTCTGCTGTAATTTTCCAGTCAGCCCTGCCTTTTGTAATGGATAGATGAGGGCCCGTACCCACCCATTGATTGCTAGGGGCGGGCCCCGCTGATATTCTTTCTGTGGTTAACAAACATTAACCTGCTCTTGAAGGTCGTCACTGGTCAGATTCATGTTTTCTCAGAATTTCCATATAGCACCAGTAGGGCCTGTTCCTGCCATGTGCTTGCGGCGGATTGGCTTATTCTGTGTACCCTTTCCAGAGATGAGTCTGTTCACAGCATTGGATGATCATAATGCTGCAGTGACCATTGCAGTCTGCAGTCTGAGAACTCGGTGTTTTCTAAGAAGGAGCTGATTTTGCACTGACTCCTTACTGGAGATTTCCGCATCTGATGTGTTTTCGACTTGCATATGAGATGAACGTGTATCTTTCTCCCACTTTGGGCCGGTTAGCTATCCAAAGGTACTAACTAGTTGGACGTGCTGTTGTTCTGCGTTTTGAGAGAGACATATCTGCAAATGATAGTGCAATTTAGCTGGTAGAGGAACATACTGTGGAAAAGTCGAACACGCACGGATATTGTGGTAAATCTGTAGGTATTCCAGCAATGATGATGGTGACGACCTACCCACGGCCAATAACAGGCACGGTATGTCTGGAGGTAGGTAGGATTATAATCCTGAGTGAGGACGCCGCCCGGCCGGTTGGTCCCGGGGGGGCTGCCCGGGTAGACCGGGCGGGCCAAAAAGCCACCCAGAAATATATATATATATATATTGTCCTCTTCTCCCTCTCTGCCTACGGTTTACCGGGCAGTTCTATTTGACGATATATATATATATACCGGGCAGTTCTATATATATATTTTGAAACTGGGGTCGTTCTGCGCTCGGGGAGAGAACCCCAAATCTGCAATAAAA